TATATATATATATATATATATATATATTAGTTAGCTTAGTTAATTTTATACATGCATTATATATCTATGTATGTGTGTGTATAAAATTAACATTATATGCATTATAAAATAAATGTAAAAAATTTCCGTTTGTTTGTTTACAAGTACGTTGTATACAGTGGGTACGGAAAGTATTCAGACCCCCTTAAATTTTTCACTTTTTGTTATATTGCAGCCATTTGCTAAAATCATTTAAGTTAATTTTTTTTCCTCATTAATGTACACATAGCACCCCATATTGACAGAAAAACACAGATTTGTTGACATTTTTGCAGATTTATTCAAAAAGAAAAACTGAAATATCACATGGTCTTAAGTATTCAGACCCTTTGCTGTGACACTCATATATTTAACTCAGGTGCTGTCCATTTGTTCTGATCATCCTTGAGATGGTTCTACACCTTCATTTGAGTCCAGCTGTGTTTGATTATACTGATTGGACTTGATTAGGAAAGCCACACACCTGTCTATATAAGACCTTACAGCTCACAGTGCATGTCAGAGCAAATGAGAATCATGAGGTCAAAGGAATTGCCTGAAGAGCTCAGAGACAGAATTGTGGCAAGGCACAGATCTGGCCAAGGTTACAGAAAAATTTCTGCTGCACTTAAGGTTCCTAAGAGCACGGTGGCCTCCATAATCCTTAAATGGAAGACGTTTGGGATGACCAGAACCCTTCCTAGAGCTGGCCGTCCGGCCAAACTGAGCTATCGGGGGAGAAGAGCCTTGGTGAGAGAGGTAAAGAAGAACCCAAAGATCACTGTGGCTGAGCTCCAGAGATGCAGTCGGGAGATGGGAGAAAGTTGTAGAAAGTCAACCATCACTGCAGCCCTCCACCAGTCGGGGCTTTATGGCAGAGTGGCCCGACGGAAGCCTCTCCTCAGTTCAAGACACATGAAAGCCCGCATGGAGTTTGCTAAAAAAACACCTGAAGGACTCCAAGATGGTGAGAAATAAGATTCTCTGGTCTGATGAGACCAAGATAGAACTTTTTGGCCTTAATTCTAAGCGGTATGTGTGGAGAAAACCAGGCACCTGTCCAATACAGTCCCAACAGTGAAGCATGGTGGTGGCAGCATCATGCTGTGGGGGTGTTTTTCAGCTGCAGGGACAGGACGACTGGTTGCAATCGAGGGAAAGATGAATGCGGCCAAGTACAGGGATATCCTGGGCGAAAACCTTCTCCAGAGTGCTCAGGACCTCAGACTGGAACTAAGGTTTACCTTCCAACAAGACAATGACCCTAAGCACACAGCTAAAATAACGAAGGAGTGGCTTCACAACAACTCTGTGACTGTTCTTGAATGGCCCAGCCAGATCCCTGACTTAAACCCAATTGAGCATCTCTGGAGAGACCTAAAAATGGCTGTCCACCAACGTTTACCGTCCAACCTGACAGAACTGGAGAGGATTTGCAAGGAGGAATGGCAGAGGATCCCCAAATCGAGGTGTGAAAAACTTGTTGCATCTTTTCCAAAAAGACTCATGGCTGTATTAGATCAAGAGGGTGCTTCTACTAAATACTGAGCATTTTTCAGTTTTTCTTTTTTAATAAATCTGCAAAGATGTCAACAATTCTGTGTTTTTCTGTCAATATGGGGTGCTGTGTGTACATTAATGAGGAAAAAAAATTAACTTAAATGATTTTAGCAAATGGCTGCAATATAACAAAGAGTGAAAAATTTAAGGGGGTCTGAATACTTTCCGTACCCACTGTATATATATATATATATATGGATCAAAAAATCAATATACATACTACAAATTAACAACTACAAAATTACATTTAAAAAAGTTTTAATAAAGCAAAATACAGTCATTTAAAAAGTCAAAGACATGCTCACCCCAGCTAGGAGACCAAAGAACTTCTCGTATGTTCTTTGCTGGGCACAACAGTCCAGGATCATGTTGCACAGCTCTTTCTGTGGAGAGAAACAGATGCACATGAAAAAGAAGAAAAAAAATCTCAAACACAGACTGAGCATCAGGGCACGGCACTTTAAAAGAAACATCAAGGAAAAGTGTGGGGCTGATCATCCATTCCCAGCACTTCTCCACTAATGCCTATTGATCTCATATTTTCACCAAGGAGCCTAGGATTCTGAGACAGACAGAGCGACAGACAGCCTCAAGATCAATTTAACAAATTAAACCTGAACGCATTAGATGAGATGATCTAAAAACTGTTCTGGTGAACTCTCAAGGCTCTTTCCTCAAGTGCACTGGATATCGGTCCAGGCACATGAAGCACTAAGCACTTGAGATATGGATTAATCATTAAGAGGTTTTTGTAAAATAGAAAAAAAAAACTACTTAATGAAAGATCACACAGAGCCATCGGCTTCAGAAAACTTGCAAAAACAGTGCATGAGTCATACAGACTACTCTTATGATGCTTTTTGTGTTATTTTGGTGCTTTAGTCCTCATTTACATTCATTCAAAAGAGTTGCCAGGACATTATACAATTTATTACAATTTCATAACATGCAGGTGAATAAAGTAACCTTGTTTCTAATAAGTGCCTGCAGGCAGCGAGGCGGAAAAAAAAAATAAAATAAAAAAGGCTGACCCCAACCTTTGATTGGTACTCTGTGCGTGTGTGTATGTATGTATCTATATATACATACACATTCTGAAAGAAATTGATACTTTTATTCAGCAAGAATGCATTAAACTTTGTAAGTCGTAAGTCGACTTACAAAAATTGTAAGTTGCTTTGGATAAAAGCGTCGGCAAAATGACTAAATGTAAATGTAAACTGATCAGAAGTGACATTAGAAAGTAATTTACGCAGAATGTTGTGAAAGAAAATTTCCAGTTTTTTTTTTAACTTTCGATTCTTCAAAGAATCCAGAAAAAAAAGTATCACAGTTTCCACATAAATATTAAGAAAGTTTTCAACATTGATAATAAAATGTTTATTTTTGAACATCAATTCAGCATATTAGAATGATTTTTGAAAGATCATGTTATACTGAAGACTGGAGAAAAAACTCAGCTGTGTCATCATAGGAATATATTAAATTTTAAAATATATTAAAATAGAAAACTGTTATTTTACATAGTAATAATATTTTACACCATTACTGTTTTTATTGAAGTGAGCGTTAGAGACTGGCCGACTCCAAATACAGTACGGAACAAAGAATACGACTGAAGTCAATCGGGACCAGAAATTGGTTGGTTAGCCACATACTTCAAAATATCTTCTTTTGTGTTCAGTGGAAGAAATTAAATCATACAGGTTTGGAACAACTTGAGGGTGAGTAAATTTTCATTCATTCATTTCATTCAAAAATTAATTTTGGGGTGAACTATCGCTTTAAGGAAGGTTATTCCAAGCATCTAGAGCAGAAATGCCAAAACGTCTGCTGTGACTGGAGGCATGCAAAGAAACCTATGATGGAGAGGTGATGTCAGGTAATTCTGTTCAGGTCAAAATTTTGAAATCCCTTACCGAACCTTTCCTCATGCCTGGCCTTGCTGTAATCCTGCCTACAGATGCCCAATTCCTCCCCTCATAGGAAACAGGAAGAATTAGCCGCTCCAAACAGCCATTTAACTCTTCCCACTTCACACCTGCGGCTGGCTTAGCTGAGCTCCAGAGGTCTGCGCTGCCCTTCGCTGTAGGTGTAACATCTCATCCTGCTGCATGATTACAAGAGCTGCCACACTTCTCTACTTATACCTTATAACACTCCATAAGCCTCCTGATTTCAGCCCCACATTTATTCATCAGGGAGCTCAGGATTATAAGGAGGAACGGCATGATTGTGATCAACTTACAAATGAAACCCTGACAGGCTGCAGGCTAGCACCAAATTAAAGTCGAAGTGGAAAATTTAAGGAAGTCTAAAACACTTTCAACAGAAGGATATCAAAAAGCGGAGTGTCCAGGCAGATGAAGTATTGAGCACTTGAGGTACGGCTGAGTATTAAGCCCTGATGAGATCGGTTCTGACTCTTCTAACAGGTGCCTGCAGGCAGCGAGCCACATGTGCCAGGTGTGACGGTAAGGTGTTCTGATCACAGGACAGTTTGAGACGGAGTGCGGAGCAGAAAGATGGTTTAGCCCTACGGCACCAGTCTCTCGTATTAACACCCTGTATATATATTTCAGGGAGGTGAAATCGCCTACAGTCTGTGCTTGATTGCTGATTAGAAACCTTTTCTCTCATTTGAGCGATATCATTCAGGGGGGTGATTTCAGAAAACTGATTATTAGAACTTTAATGTTGCATTTTGTGTCCCTAGTGAAAAACAAATATACTAAAATGCATCTGAAATGCATTTATTTCATGCTAAGTATACTACAAAAACATTTACATATCTATGTGCTAATAATGAAAATACCCTGCAATTTTACTTGTATTATACTAAACTGGTATACTTAAATTCTGCTAAATTGGAACAACTAATTTTGCACTTAATGCACTTTAATTGTGCGGAAGCAGTGCTGAAGTGCAATTAAAGATATACTAAAGTATATTTGAGTGGAACTATTGCAAGTATACTTCAGGTACATTTGAAATATCTTGCATTTAAAAACCAATATTATTCAAAGATCAAACAATTCTCACCAATAGTGACATTAAAACACATTTTAGGCTTAATATTAAGAAATGTGCATTGTCCACTAGTAGTACTCCAAATAAAGTCTAATTATAATTTTTATTTCAGGAAGTCTCAAGCGATATGTCAGTATATATGTTAACAGATTTTAATTATACTTAGTATGAAGTAAATTAATTTTAAATATTACATTTTTTTACTATAAATTATATATACCATTCAAAAGCCTAGGGTAATTTTTTTTAAAGTAATTACAATAATATTGTGAAATATTATTACCATTTAAAATAACCGTTTTCTATTTAAATATTGTGAATTGTAATTTATTCCTGTGATGCAAAGCTGAATTTTCCGCTGCCATTACTACAGTTTTCAGTGTCACATAATCCGTCAGAAATCATTTTTGGTGCTCAAGAAACATTTATCATCACAATTTTAAAAGGAGTTATGCTGCATAATATTTGACAGTGATGCAAGTCTTTACTGTCACATTTGATTAATCCTTGCTGAATAAAAGTATTAATTTCTTTTCAAAAAAAAAAAAAAGTACTGAGTCTAAACTTTGGACAGTAGTTATTATTTGAAAACAAGGGTGAGTAAACAATGACAATTTTTATTTTGCCTTTATTTCTGAGACCAACACATCTCAGAAATTAGCAATACATCCGTCAGTACAGCTTCCAGTTCCAGAAGAAATCCAACTACGGTTCTCTGACTCAGCTAATACCTATTCCTCATGTATGAACAGGGAAATCCCTGCTAATTAAACTGCTCTAACAGCACCGGCAGCATTACTGTGCAACAGACCAAGCAGGAGCATAAATCCGCGCTTTGGCATTGGTGAATCACTCTCTGACTCGCTCATTAGCATCATCCTCATTGCCTCGAGCAAATAAACCATAGTGGCACTTTAGAGATTCTGTCAAAAGAGATGTCAGGTAAATCTCTTCAGCCCAAAAGGCCGGAATCCCACAGTGACCCTTTGTGTTGATCCTATCAACACAGCAAACTAGAGGGATTACACGCTCAAAACAAGCACTTCCTTTTTCGCACCTGCGGCCCGGTTGAGCTCCCGCATGCCCTCACTGTAAGTGCAACATCTCACCCCTCTGTTTTGACTGCTTGGATAAATTATATCTAGAGAAACCACAGAATGATGGACGGATTGTGATCGGCATGAAGCTGACAGAAGCATTTCCCTCAGGACAGACTAGTAATTTTTGAAGAGAGATATGAGAAGAAGGGAGCGCAGGAGAGCATCCGTGATGTGAAATCTGTAATCGTGCACAGCAAGACTGTTGCCACAGATGACCGGCCATCTGCTCTGCAAAGACTGATGGAAAAGAAATGACGAAATGCCATTAGCTTTCATTAAAGCAGCAGCACAAAGAACAAAAAGAAACAAATGAAGGGCTTTAATCATTTAAAGAAACTTCTAAACCATATCAGCCTATTTCATTTCCTCTGAAAAGAAATTGGCAGCGCTGTCAAATTGAACAAACAACACAAGGACTGAAACCCAGACTCACACCCAGACAATCAATAACCACTTACCTCCAGTATATCCACAACACAATAAAACTTCTATAATGAGAGCAAAAAAAGAGAAAAACTTATCACTTCTTTTGCTAAAACGCCAGTATCAAAAAATTCGAAGCTGAAACCTCACAAACAAACCAGCTCGACTGAATCACTGGCACACATGGGACATCGAGTGAACTCGCAACAGCATTCCCTAAGTGCACAGGGCTCAGCAACATAACCTTTTTCTTTTTGCGTAAATGAGTGCGGCCCGAGTCTTACGCATCTACCTGTGGGACGGGCAGAAAAAGTCAGGCTGAAGATCTGCCCGGTCAAGAACAAGCTGGAGGATTCAATCAATAACTCCAAGGAGTGAAAGCTCAGGTGAAGAGCACAGTGCAGGAGAAATTTATTTTCCATTACCCCCGTATGGGGTGTGAAATATACTCCGCACATGTGGAATAAATATTTCATGCGATTTTATAAAGATGTCAAAAGCACAGGCACACCGTTTACCATGTTGATTCAACACTGAAAAAAAAAAAGAATGGTATTAACTATTAATACCATAACTATTAATAGCAAAAAAAATCTTTGTTAGTATTTAGTGTGGTATTACAAACTGTGAAATTTCACTGGTTTTGGAATCATACGGAGGGTTAGGAGTTTGAACACACTCCAAACTCTAATAGGGCTGGGCGATATAGCAAAAAATTGAAATCTCGATTTTTTTCAAAACGTTTGACTGATTCTCGATTTCTTACGTTTTTTTTAACTAGTCAACTTGATAATGTAACTACAACATGATTCAAGTTGCTGGTAGTGACT